CCTTCTCTCTACCAAAACTCACCAATTCTTTACTCCGATCTCCGTTCAGGCACCGTAGGAATACTTCCGGCATCCCAAGCTTTAGTTTGATCCGATTGATTTCAAATTCTAAATGGGTAAGTTTTTCTTGTCTTTAACCGTTCGTTCTTGTAAACATGCAAACCAAGTTCTGGTTGCATGGGTACTTAGTTTCATTCTGAACGAGTTTGGTCTGTTGTTTTATTTTGGTTCGAAGAGTAGTTGAGCGTTGAGGGTAGAAAGGATCGTAGTTCGGCAAACTGAGTCTCAGTCTGTAGGACGTGCGTTCACGCTCTGAGGTAAAGGAAGCTTATTCAATTTAATTTGTATGTTGTTGTTCTATATGAACGTTCGTTATTTGACTGAATGAATATTATGTATGATGGTTGAAATGTTGGGATTGTATGAATGTTGATATGATTGTTTATGTGGAATATGATTTATTAGTATGATATGAGTTTTATAAAGTTATGAAATTATGTAATGAGAAATGAATTGAAGATAAATACGTTCTGAATATGAATTTCCCTATAATAATGTACGTTCGTCATTGAACGGTTCTTGACCGTTCAGTGTTTCTAGTAGTCTTGTTTGAAATTTGATTCTTTCATTTGGAAAGAACCCTAGTTGAGGACGAGCGTCTTCTTGCGATAATATTGTGCTTGAGCGTTCGGCCGAGCGTAGTGCATCTGAATATTCGGAGATAAACATAAATCTTGTATATGTATATATGTATTTGTATATGGTAATTATTCTTAAACACAATTACTTTAAAATCTTATTTATCAATCTTTTATGTTAAAAGTTTAGTAGTGCTCGGCCTCATATCAGATTCCCATAATGAATGGTGCTCGGTCTTATACTAAGCATTGGAACTCGTTTATAATTAATCATTCTCGATGAAACATCGTTCGTCCAAATTCCGTAGAATCTCTTTTACCGTGTTCGGTCATTGACCGGCATTAGGTTTCTGTATATGAACTATTCTACGTATAATTCTTTAAAGTCTTGGCACATCTATATTAGTTGTATCCGACCTAAAGTCCTCGTACCTGATGTATTCTTCGAGTGTTAGCTGGAGTTCATGAGAGTCGGTTCATTTAACTGATTCATGTTGTAAGTCACGGTCGTCTCATATCGTAAAAGTGTACTCGGTTTATTCCTAAATCAAATGGTAATCCCTCAGTCTTATTCCATTCTAGAACGAGCGACTTCTCAGTCTCGTTCTTAGTGTTCGACCTCATTCTGAGTGAGGACTGAACGTTTGGTATTTATTGTTAGTAGATTTGGTGATAAAGATGAAGTTAAAATGACGGATAATAATGGATGAAGAGTATACGAGATGGATAAAATGATGTGGAAAATGAACGAGCGTACCGGGGAGGAACGACTCTTGTATGAATACTGAATTTGGTAAAGTATGACTGTGGGCATGGCCGTTCATCCTAATGTTCCGTGAGTACTCGTCTTCACGTAGAGGAGGGTAGGTCATGTGTGGGAACGGCAGGAGGTCCTAGTCCTTAGGGGTACTTTGGACAGATAGGGCTAACCTCGGGTGGCAGCTGTTGAGTGTATCCCAGTTATCACATCACCCGGGTGCACGAACGCCTGTAGCTACACAAATTTCATACAGTCCGGACGGTCAGTCTAGTGATAGGCTTCGTAGTGATACATGTGTTGAAATACTCTTGTGTGTTGGATTGTTTAACATATATATATATTGATGAATGAATTAAATTACATAAGCTTACCCTGTGTTTTTCCTTGTGTTGTCTTGTCTTGTGCGTTCGTCTTGTCATTGCAATGATCATCCGTGTGGATGTGAGCAGAAGGGGACGCGCTGCTGGAAGAGGCGCTGGAAGAAGAAAATTTGGTTGAAGTGGAAGTAAAGGCCGAACCGTAGTATGTTCGGTTATAGACAGTAGTTTATTATGAGGTGATCGAGCGGTCACCTCCTCTCTTTCGTTGTTATCTGATCGTTCGGTATTTAGCTTTTGTACACCGTTCGGTCATGGTTTCTCTTAACTTGCACAGTTTAGTTAGAAAGCTTATGTAAGGTCGTTCGGCCGTAAGCTTACGTTAATTAATGTAAGACTGAACTGATATATTATTAGATGTAATTAATTCTATTACATGGTTTATTACTATATTTTTGGGATGCTACATATCATATTCTTACCTAAATAAGATCTTATTATTAATAAAATGGCTACTCAAAGTTACTAAGAAGAGGTAGATAGCTAGTAACGAAAATGAAACCAAAGGTGGCAGCGGAGGAGGGGAGAGCGGCGGCGTACCGGAGGAAGCTCTATAGGCTCGACGGCACGAGATTGATGGTTACGTAATATTGGTGCGAACGGGAAAGTTTTTGCATAGTCCAACCCCAAATTCTTAGATTTGAAATTATATAAATTTATGTTTGATAATAGAAATTTTTCATATCTATAAAAAGTATAAAAAGTTTCTCAGTTTTGGTGTTTTTGTTTTTCAATTTTATCTTCTAAATAATCTTCTTATATTAAAATAATTATTTTATTACTTTTATTTTTAAGATATTGTTTTTTTTAATTAAACTGTTTTTTCTATTTAACTATTTTTAAAATTTAATCATTTTTTAATTATAAAATTAATTTCAAAAATGAATAAAAAGTTGTAAAATTTATTTATATTTAATTTTATAATAATAATAATAATAATTTTATTAATTTTCATTGTTTAGTGAATACTCATAACATATCCGTACCTGTTTTTACTAGTAATAATAATGATTTTATTTGTTACGAAACATCAAGTCATATTGACATGGTAGAAACCAAAATAATATTCTGATGAAATTTAAAAAGAAAATTGTTATAATATTTAAGAAAACTATTTCTAGGTATTCATTGTTTTAGTGATTTTATTTTTAAGCCTTAAAGGATAGATTTTTATAGAAATATTGCAATCATTGGAATTTTCAAAATATTAAAATGTAGCTATATATTTTAAAAAAATCATCGTTCAAATATTTCTCTTATTTCATTTAAATTAGTTGGCAGTTACTTAGGCTAACGAGTTTTATTATAAAATAGAATTAAATATTGAATTATCCGCCAAATAAATAGTCTATCACAATATCACAATATATATAAATATTTAAATATATAATTATCAAGACAACTTATTACATTAAATACATTTTCAAGTTTATTTAAAAATTTCATATTTTATTGTAATACTTTTAAAAAATACAAGTCTTATGTCCGGTTTGCTCATTTTAAAATTCATTTAATAAAAAAAAGACTATATTGTTGGATTTTATTTTATTTTTATGAGTCCAGTTTTGATGATTGACCAAACTGCAAAATGTTCGATGAGAGGAGAAAGTTTTCCCTTCAAAGCCAAGTTTTGTCTTGAGTTGTTAGAAGCTAAAACAAACAACTTCTACTTCTTTTACCAATTGAGTGTTTCATTCTATAACGGTAATCTCTTGTCACATTTCATATGAAAACAAAAATAGAAATTATTTAAAATAGTTGTATATTAAATAAAAATTACAGAATCATGTTCAACTTTTGACTATCATTTTAATATTCTATCTTAGACATTGTTAAATTGTTATGATTTTGTTTTAATAAATCATCTTTAACCTTCTTTGTAAACAATATGAAACATTTTAGTTTACTTTATCATCCTTAAATAATTGTTCAAAATAAAATGAACGAGTGCTCAATTTAACTATTTGCTGCTAGATCATTAATAAGTATTAGGAAATGAATTTAAGATTAATTTTCATAAAATCAACTTTTGTAATATCATTAACTTATCCATTTTGATATCTTTAATTAATATATCTTTATATTGAGACGGTTTAAAGTTGACTTTGTATGAATCTTATTTTCTTTTATAGTATTCATTTTTTTTAATTTTATTCAATACATACTTTTTTACTCAATGATTACATATGTTATTTGATTTATAGGAAACACATGTATATTTCATATGAAATTAAATATTTGTTTATAGTCCAATAATAAATGACAAGACAACTCAAAATTAAGAAAAAATTATAATATTATATTACAATCCAAATTAGTGATGTGAAAAAAATAGAAATGAATACATGAATATAATAAAATTAGAATACGTTTTATCTTTATTGAAGTTTGGTTAGGTATGGTGGAAAAATAAGATATGAAGAACAACAATTGGCAGGATGTAAAGTGTGAGAACTGACAAGAGAGGGAGTTGAGAGATAAGCAGGTTCGTTGGTGCCAAAATTGAACATAATGATGATAAGACTTGCAGAAAAGGGTAGCATATATGATTTTGTTATTATTATAGTAGCTTACATCTAAAGCCTCTCTTGTTATAACAAAACCAACCAAATTAGCACTGTCACTTGGATTATTTCCTAAGCAAAATCCATTAACAGATCCTCATCCTTCAAACAATTCGTTTGGTACATATATATTCTTTGACCTTTCTGCCCATCAATCAACCAAAAATATTTTCATAAATTCATAGCATATGGTATTGTTAATGTGAATTTTTGTACACTAAAACTTGTTAGCTTTTAACTTGTATTTAAGAACACATGGGATATCAAATATACAAGTTTCTCTTGTTTTGTTTTTCTCTTTCTTTCCTCCTCCAAGTCATTGCCACTTCAATTTTGTCCTCAAACCCCACATGAAAGCCATTTTGACATGTCAAGCTCAAAACTAGTGATCATGAACAACCATTTGCCTGTTTATGTGACAAATAGTAACTTCAGAATTGGCCATGTCCTTATCAGCATTTATTTCAAACACCCTGAATAGCAGGTAAGTTTGGGAGTTGGGATAACATCCAATTTATGCCATCTGCTTTATAATAATTTCCCAATCAAGGGTATTTTTGGAAATATAAAAAAACACTACAGTGATGTACCTTTTCCCTGGTCTCAGCCATTATATAAGACATCATCCCTTCATGGCTTCAGAAACCAACATTCCCTTCTCATAACAACCACAAACTCTCATCAGTTCCACTTCCATTCTTACTCAGATTGGAAGCTATGGATCAAGTTAAGTCCCTCAAAATAAAATCTTTAATACAAAGCACAAAACTCCATGACCATGTAATCAAGCTTATCCAATTGTTAGTCTCATTGTCTGTGTTTTCTTTCTTCATTTCTCCATCTTCCTTGCTTGCTTTCCTCTACCGCTTCAACCTCTACTTCTCCACATTTTCTTTGCAACTATTTACTCACACCATAGACAAGAACTGCATGTTTCTACTATGCAACGGCCTCCTTGTGTTTGTTGGCATAACAAAATCTTTGTCTGGGTCTACCACTATTTCTGATAAGTATGTTGAAGGTGGATCACGATCTTCGTACTCCGATGTTGAGGCTAATGAGCCAATAATGTTGGTGCAGAAAGCTCATCATGAACCGGAAGAACAGAAGACAGAAGCAGAACATGCAATAGAAATCAAGTTTTCTGTTGAAGAAGGTGAACAAAACATAGTTTTGGAAGGTGAAGAAGAAGGAAAAGAGAATATTGAATCAGCTTTGAAGGAAGAGGAGGAACCAAATGCAGAAACTGGAGCTGAAGATGAAGAAAAGGAATCACAGATTGGTGAGTTTCTGATTGGAGAAAGTGTTGAAGAGGAAGAGGCTGTGGAAGAAGAAGAAGCAAATTGGGTGCTAAGTACTGAGGAGTTGAACAAAAAGTTTGATGATTTCATTAGAAAGATGAAGGAAGATTTGAGGATTGAAGCTCAGAGACAATTACTCATGGTTTGAGTTTGATTAGAAACAATCATATGATATTCCTCTTTTACCCCTTATATTTTTTGTTTAGGATTTCTAGGCTTCTAAATTACTTCTCTAGTGTAATAGTTTTACTTCGTGCAAAATTTAGATCTTCTAGGATGAAAAGTGCACTAGGGTAACACTATAGAATTGTAATTATGAATGAGAAAACAATGTAAGATTTTGTAGAATACAAAGAAATCAAGCATATATGCTTTGTTTAGTTATATTTTTTCCAACACTTCAACTTAAAAACTTCATTTTAAGGAGGATTCAACCGATTCTTTAAGAAAAAAAGTATTCTTTTCAATTGGGTTAGAATTTTTCACTTCTTCATTTCCCTTATATAATATTGAAAATCTCAATACTAAATTGTTTCTCTGCCTTTTCTTCCTTATATCTTCTTAGTTGAAGTTGTGGGGTCGTGTTTGTAAATTTGGAACTTTTGTTAAAATTATTAAAAAATATTTATATAATAATCTTAGTTTAAAATCCAATATATTTATTATTATTAAGTAATATATATTACATCTTGCTTTTTTAATAATAATTCAATCTTGGCCTTATATATACAAATAATATATGAGATAATCAGTTTCATGTCGGTGTAACTTAAAATTCGATGTTACATAGTAACTTTTGTAAATATTTTGTCTAAAATAACGTTAAACAACCTAACAAAAGAGGTCAATTTAAAATTACCGTTGGTCCTAGAACCAACATTTCTTAAATAACATTGGAATGTTTCGGAACAGTAATCCATCCTTTATTAAGTTTCGCAATTCTAGTTTTGTTCCAAAACAATTGATATTTTATGAACTCAAAATTAAATTAATATTTTTTTTAATCATGTCCTTGTCTGCAATTAATAATTTCTTATCAGAAAATTAATTATTGAGTTTTTATTGCAATACAAGCTGGGAACATATAGTCTAATCAACCACAATTGAGATATTTTTATGCTTACCCATAAATGAGAATGCCCACGTTACACTGGGTCTACTTGAATATAAAAAAATGTTTTTAAGGTTTTTTTTCATACAAAAATATAAAGCTTTTTTTATGTAGAAAGTCTCAAGAAAAATCAAACTTTGTATCTAAACATAATCATATTTATAATTTCCCTTGGCTAATTGTGGTTCCAAGTGCACATGACCCACATTAAATGGGGATGACATATTTGTTTAAACACGATTAAATAAATATATTTTAGTCTAAATATATATCAATTAATAATCTCGATCTATCTTCTTGAAAAAAAAAAACTCTTAATCTATTTGTAAAAAAACATGACTCTATATTAATTGGCAGTTGTGTATTTTAGTCAATCATTCTAGATTTTGAGTCCTAATTATATCTTTTTGAATATAGAACAGATCTTATTAAAAAAACGCCTACCTTATATCTCATAGGTAAAAAAAATCATCTCCAAAAGAAATGAACTAAATGTAAAAATGTTAATTATGTAATTACTCTTATAAAGCAAATTATATAAGTAACATTTTTCTTTTTGCTGAAGCATTTTTGACATTATACATGATATTTTTTTTGTTTCAATGTTTATAGGATACATATTGTAATATGTATATCTTCCATGGAAGGATGCCAACTTATTATATTTTAAACCATGAAATAGACTTGGGTCTTGTGTATGAACAAATATAGACGAATATATATTGACAAAAATTAATGAAGTTCATTGTAATATATGTTTAACTTTTTAAAGTTTATGATGATAAATTTAAGTATTTTGAAATGAGTTTATTAAGTTTTTTATATATTTAAATTCTTAAAAAAAATTATATTTTTAATTAAGTTTCTGGTTAACTAAATGATATTGTTGTGCTTTATTTTGTTTCATTATTTTTTTATTTGTCTCCCCATTTCTTATGGTTAATTAATATTTTGGTTAATATATACGGTGTGTTTTATTTGGATAACCCGACTTTCAAGTCATTATTCAGAGCCACTAGACAATTATTAATTATATTTGATACGTTTTCATTAAAAACAATAAAAATCATTTATTTATTTATAATTGTAATATTTTTATATAATTCACATAATTTTTATATATTATTAATACATGGAAAAGAAAGAGACAAGCAAAACCCAAGTCAAATTATCTAAATAATGAGAAACAAACAGTAAAACTTTAACATTTAATTATACTAACAAAATTTAATAAAAATCCAAATAAAAACACCTAAATTTAGCATATATTTAAAATTTAATTAATTTTTTTTATTAATTGTGCATGCGTGGAACAATCTATGTTTAGAAGAATCCATGAACACCTTGAACGCCATGTCAGTAATGTCAGTAATGTAAATCACACATATAGTTTGAGGCTGAAATCGTTTCTGACATTTATTGCAAATATCAGCAACACTCACTCAGCTGCCATGCATCTGAAGAAGAACCATGGAAGAGCATTTGCCATATTACTTAGAAAAATATTTGAATAGAAGCTTCTAGTTTGATTAATTTGACTCTTTGATGATCCAAAAGAAGAAATTTATTTGAAGTGGGTCATTGCAAGATGGCATGGTTTAACTAAATAGTTATTGAAACTACAAATACAGCCACTCAGCACTACTGGTATCACTACTAACCTACAAGTGGTTGAGAATTTTTTTTTGTTTGATGATTTAGGAAACTATGGTTGAGCTTCCATTGGAGGCTTTAAGGTTTCCAAATATATAATGGTTGAAAAGGATTTATGATATTAATAGCCAAATCAGGGATTAGTTGATGATGTTACTCATAACTAAGAAACATAATACAGTTATGATTCCCATCAATTTCACTCTAATAAATACTTTTCTTTTATTGATATTAACATCTTCTTTTAAAGTAAAGCATATTTATTTAAATATCATAGACTAAATGTTTTATTGAAATGGGAAATTCTATTAAAAATAATTAGTCGGATTTTTAGTATAAAAATTAATTATATGAAAATTAAAAGATACTTCGTATTACTAATGTGATTATTATTTTACATCTTTACTTTAAATGTGTTTTTTATACAGTTAATTGTTGGCATGCATGTAAGCTTAGCCTAATTAGTTTAGTAGTAATCAATCAAACTATTCTTTGGTAAAAGATAGGAAAGACTCCAACTTAAAGAGTATTATTTTTCTTGTGGATGGTGTATTTGGTAAAAGGAAACGTAAAAGTAAAGGAGGCAAAATAAATAGTTTTAATGAGTTTTTATTATAACTATATAATGATTTTTAAAGTTCATTTTTATCTTTTAAACAAAACATACTATATTAGATTTCATTTCAGAGTAAATCTTTACTTTAAAAATTCCGTAATTTCTTTATTTGCTATAGTATTTGAGATTATTATCAATTTCATCCGTTGAAGTTTAACTAGTTTATAAGTGAATTGAATTCCCGTATTGTTGGGATATATCGTATTACATCTTTAGTATATATAAATTTCAACTTTTTATAGTTATTATGATATTGCTATCAACCTCTAAATAAGGTAAGCTATTTCAAGATATGTTTGATTTGTTGATTTTTTTTTTCGTGTCTGATGGTATTGATATTGAAATGAGATTGAGTATTAAAATAATTTAATGGATGTTGAGGTTAGATTGATTTTTTAACTTGAAAATGACAAATGAGTATTTATAGTTATTTTGAATATATTGTTCTTAAATCTTTGTTCTATTAAGATGGTAAAACCAAATATCATTCAAGTAATATGTTCTAAAGGAGCAACTTAAGAAAAAAATATGTTTATCAATCAATTGTTGAAAATATGTTCAAGAGATGCTCTCCATCCAATGACATACTCTTAATTATGTTTATTTTTATAAATGTTCAAGTGACTAGTTTCATTCAAGAGACATGTTTGGGTGTCTGCTATTAGTTCAATATTAAATATAATAATAATAATAATAAATAATATAATATAATAATATATGTAATATTGTATTGATTTGAATAATTATGAATTATAGGCATAAATATGAGTTTAGTAGGGATTATACCTTGAATAATATGTTACTAACTTTTTATTGTTTGTATTAAGTATAAATTCCCAGTTTAACAAAGATATAATTGCTTTAGTGAATGTTAAACAATCTAAATGAAAATATTAAGTGGTGTGAAGTTGAGATGAAATTCTCACATACCATATAGAGTTATTTTATATTGAGCTTACTTTTAATCATTAATTTTACTTTGTAGATCAAAACTCCTTAGATTAGTAAGGTGTGAGATCGGGTAAAACCATGTTTATTACGGATTTTCTAATTCTATTCAAATTTTAATAATTCACATTCAATTTAATCTAAATTATTGTAACTGTAAAGAATAAAGAAAACGGTTCTGTACTTCATTCAGTGTTAAATACTTAGATAATCTTAGTACTTAAGGTAATTATCATAATTTTATATTCCCATTATTTAAGGATTTTTTAAATTATTTTCTTTTAGTTTTTCCGTTTTAAAATTAATAATTCAACCCCACATATTCATTCACTTGGCTTATTTTAATATTATTATTCTTTATCAAACCAGGTTAGGTTTAAACAAATAATAAACTGGATTTAGGAATGTAAAAAAAAAAAATTATGGGGTATTTATGGATAAAATTTCTAATAAATTGGAAATAAATATTATAAATAGATATACGTAGATAATGGATAGGGAATAGTTGTTAGAGTTGTATGTTAAACCGGAAACGAGTATGAGATCAATATATAGTATCCACATATATATATATAGATATATATATATATATATAATATATATATATATATATTATATATATATATATACTATAAAAGCAAATAAATGAGTGACTTAATCTTTTTATGTATTGAACAAGATTTAATATTTATTTTTATAAGTTTATTTAGACTTATATAAATTTGAGTTTATTTATACTTTTCTTTGAAATTTATGATAATAATTTTATATATTTTATTTAAATTTATTTAGATGTTTCTATCTTTGATTGTGTTTACAATTCAGTTTTATATATACATTTTTTTTATAGATTTTTATATAGGTTTTTTTTTTTAGATTTTAATAACTACAATTTTTTTATAATCTTATTATCATTTTTATATATTTTTTAATAGATTTTTATGATTAAAAATATTTTGCTAAAAATTTTAGAATTTGTTTTAAGTATCTTCAAATACTGATGAATATTCGAGAATATTAAAAAGATTATGCGAGTACTAAAATAACATACTATACAAATATGGA